TTTTATCCAGTAATTTCTATTTCATTAAATGAAAGTAAGCAGAAGAGAATTTCTTAAAATTTAGAATAGCACTAAAAAGTGAAGTAGTTGCTGCAGAATTTGTTCTCACACTCATAGCTACCTCTGGCAATAGTAATACCAGTACTACAATTGGAGAATTAGTCGCTCAAGAAATTAAATATGGTTGTATACAGTAATTCCAGTGACAGAGGAGATATGTGTATATTTTGACAATTGACTTTTAAGTTTACAGTGATTTAAAGAAAAAGTATTGATTTGTTTATTAAGTAAATACAAAATCAACTAATTATAGTCTGATTTTCTCTCAAATTCCACTTTGTTTAAATCCAATGTCATTATACTTCCTTTGACACATGGATCTTTTGTAGTTTTATGCTAAAAATCAATTTCTTGCGGATAATTTATCTCAATGGAGGAATCCATTCAGTTGTAGGGAAGAAAGCTACCAAAGGATGAATCCATTCATTTGTAGAGGGGATAGATATCAATGGATGAGCGAATTGATTAGTAGGGAGGAAAGCTGCCAATTATAGGAAGGGTCAATTGATACCAAGACAAGTACATTTTAAGAAGCGTGTAATATTTGCATCTGCTGCATTTGATAGCTTCATATATCTTGTACATTTTCTAAGCAAATAAGTTTAGTGTTTTATACTCACAATCTAATTTCTATTCTATTTTCATTTACATTTTTTTTGGTGAAATTCAGTTTGATTTTTGAAGAATATAATATTACTTTATCATGGTAGATTTTGTAAACAGAATTTTGAGTATTATGCAAATAAACTTTCTGACAAAACATTTCCTTGCAGTTTTGTATTTTGAAGCGTTTTAGTATCTTTAGTTTGGTGGTATAGCGCCCTCTGGTGTTACAAATCTTATACTTCTTAGATGTGCACCATTTAAGCTGTCTATTTTGAGACTTTCATATCTTTACATACTATGAGTGATAATAAATGCGGCATGTGTGAATAAGCTGATACTTTAAGTGGCATTATGTATACGAGATACGAGAACATGTCACTGACCAGACATGGGCTGAATGTGCTTTTGTGTTTTATTCAATGCCACGGTTACTAGTAACCGTGTCAATGCTAACTGTAAGTTGAAGGGAAAAGTCCTGACGAAAGAGCTCCACAAATGTAAGAGGATGCAATTTACATTTTTTTTATCACTGGCATCCACCAATTACTTGTGCAAATGCATGTCTCAATATAAATGTTGTGCCTAATTTTATTCTCTAGATATTCAACTTTTCACAAGTATTGATTCTCAAGAAAAAGATTGTAGGTAAGCTGGTTCTATAAATGTGACATGTGGGGAAAAAAAAAAATGAATGTGCTTCTGTGTTTAATCATTGCTAACTATAGTGTATGTAAGTTAAAGTCCCAGCAAACAACATAATGCTCCCAGATGAAAGAGCTCCACAAATGTAGAATGTCCTACATGTTTGTAGACTTTTCTTCTTTGAAAAGATTAATTCATAAAAACACTTTGGACCAATAAAAGATTTTTCTGGTCCAATGATGTTTACTGATACTTTCTTCTTGTATTTCTTACATAAACATAAATTAACTCTTTGTTTTAATATGAATATGCATTGTCATAATTAATTTTTAATACAAACAAGTTTAGGATTGAAACATTCATGGCCAAAATATCTCTTTACAAGGAAATTATTATTCATAGTCTGTGAGGAGGTATAATTCACGTCACATGTTAAGAGTAGAAAATCTTTTTTCTTTTTTTTTTTTTTGGGGGGGGGGGTATAATAATTCATATTGGGAGCAGTATAACTACACATATCGGGGATATAAAATTAGCATATATTGGGGGAAGCATATCTGTATGTAAGAAGCTATAATTTATGGTTCGCATTGGGAGCTGAATAACTCTTTGAGGGAAGGGTTGAGTCGGGGCATAAATCGAGAGCAGACTATATTTTTAAGTTTCTCTCTAAAAGAAATTAACACGTCTGGAGAACAGTGTAAATAATATTTTGGTATACTCTTTGGAGAGAAAAAATGTATTAATTCAGGTATAGTAAAAATATTTGCAGAGGAGGTATGGTTTTCATGAATTCAGTCTTGAATCACAAATGTATGTTCACTTGCATTCAACTGGGATGCAAGACATAAAAAAAAAATCACATGCTCAAAAATTGTGAGCATAGAATGTAAATTTGAACAGATAGGGAGTGCATTATTTTTGTTTTGATAACTTTGGACTAAACAGACATCATTTTCTATCAGCTTTAGATAAAAAATTTGGCACCCAAAGGATTATTCATAGGAGTGCTTATTATCTGACAAGATGATAAAAGATTTACTTCATTGAACACATAGAATTTAGTAAAGATATTGTGCACACATTACCAATTATTAACAATGACAACAGACATTTTCCCCTTAATATACCTTTCCCTTTCCCTTTCATCTTTGACGATACGGGCAGGGTGAAAATAGCTGCTACAGCGGGTTCTACTAGGTCATCAAATTAAATAATTGGTTTCACAGAGGTAATATAGTTTTGCATTTTATAGTGCGTCCCATTTTAAAACACGTTTTGCACTCCTTCCTTTTAGTAGAAGTCTCAGAAGTATTTGGGCAGCCAATTTGCAAACTCTAATTGGTTGACTGCTTGGGTATTGACTAAACTATGGTGGTGGACTGTCATACACTCTGAGTTGTGCCTTTTCAGACAAGTGAATTAGTGATGGACAGGAACCATACTGCCTGGGTCAGATTATTAGGGTTGTACAAACCCGTTTGTTTACCTAATCATACTTACCAGAAAGTCCGTGGAAATAATAAATTTCATTTATTACTCGTTAGGCTTAATTACAGATTACAGCCCGAACGAAAACAATTAGGGAATATACCAGAGTCCACAAAGAACACCCTAGGGTAGCATTCCCTATAGAAAAAAAGGGCCTCTCCTGAGGGGTCACCCTCATCTGTTCATTCTCACAAACGTTTCCGCTGCCAGAAGCTTGTGGGGTGGTGGGCGATTTCCACGGACTTTCTGGTAGGTTTTATTAGGTAAACAAACTGGTTTGTACAACCCTAATAGTTTACAACATCACCTACCAGAAAGTCTGTGGAAATAATAAATTTCATTTATTACTCGTTAGGCAGAGTAGCACACTCACCGGAGGTGGGGGGAGGGGGGGCTCCGATGGCTGAAATGTACATTTTTCGACACAAAGAAGAAAGATCAAATCTAAAGCTACTCACTAACAAAGAGTCTTGTCCTAGGATACAACCACTCAGGCAACTCTTCAGGGACCAGGTGCCTCGAGAGTAGACCAGCCCCCCAATTTAGGGAGGCTTACTAAAGCTGGCCTTCTGAACAATAAAATAGGGCCCCCAACAATTCTAATGCATCAAAAACAGTGTATTGCTGGGGTTCGATAGCACTGATCGAAACCAGCAGTGTCAAGCAAAGAAAGCTGGTTTCGGCTGAAGACACTATCGCGGTAAAGCTTTCCCGCATAGGTCCTTGGTGGTGCGGGCTGGGTCAACGAACACTGTCTGACCCGTCACCACTGGACCCAACCTATAGAGACCCTCCTCCAGCACTTGGAGATCTCTCACGTAATAGTTAATGAAGACATTCTGAGATCTCCAGAACCCTGCTCAGAGCACCTGCTCGACTGCTGCTGATGACGTTCCAAACGAGCCGATGAAGAAGCAGTTAAGTTATACGCTTCCACAACCGTATCGACAATCCACCATGAATTGGTGATATTTGAAGCAGGGTGGCTCTGTTTGCAGTGCCCATAACAGACAAACATGCGCTTCTCACTGCCCCTAGACACCTTGGTGCGGTCGCAATACCAGCTCAGAGCTAGGACAGAACATAGAATCCATTCCTGATGGTCCTCCTTGCCCACTAAGTTAGTGAGGTGCTGGATTTGATTCTTGGCAAGAAAGCCCAACCGAGTCTCCAAAATAACTTTCGAGTTCATAAAGGAGGCACATCCATCACTGAAGAACAGTGGGATCTCTGAGCGCCGCTCAGGAAAAACTGTTTTCATAGTGACATACTTCATGTCCGCCTTGTCCATAGGCTCGAAGGGGGGGGGTGTCGTAATGCCGCTAGAACCAACACCAAGTCCCAGTCAGGAGGATTTGCTAGCCCCTTGGCTCCTTCAAGCGGAAAGACTTAAACAGTTGTATCATAATAGAACTCGAAGCCAGTTTCAGTCCAGCCGAATCTGATAAAACTGGGAATAAAACTGACCGATATCCAAGAATTGTCGATATAGATTTCCCTTGATCAAATAAATATAGGAAACAATTGGCTACCTCGCTAATAGAGGGACTGAGATGATCAATTTTCCTTCCGTCACACCAATCAATATACAGTCTCCATCTGGATTCGTACAAACCTCTGGTGCCGTCCGACTGTGTTGAAGCGAGGAACTTGGACAACTCTGCAGAAAAGCCTTGCGCTTGCCTCCAAGCATGAAGATGGAATTGCGCTGGGCTCATCAGTAGAGTGCCATCCGGAAGATCCGTAAACTCTGCAGGTGACTAGACTAGAAGTTTCAGCAACATTGGGAACCAGACCTTCACTGGCCAATTGAGGCCACCAAAGTCAGAAGGCAGATGGGCTCGAGTTGTAACTTCTCCAACACTTGGTGCACCAGTTGGAAGGGTGGAAAAGCATAAGCGTCCATGAGACTCCAAGAGATCGATAGAGCGTCCTTGGCGAAAGTGCTCGTCTCCGGGAGAAGTGACACGTACGTCGGCAGCTTGGCATTCCTGTGATTGGCAAACAGATCTATCCGGGGCCGGTCCCAGAGATGTAAAAGCCGATCCGCCACCCA